GGCAAGCAATCTAATTAGTTTTAAACTGATTAGATTTTTCTCCAAGCAATTTTCTTTCAAGGTTTTAAAAGTAAGAGAGCTTCCAACTGTATTTTGTTTAGAAATTTGTTTTCTTCACTTTATACTAACTCTCACTAGACTGACTATTTGTTGATCGATCAACCAATCAACCAATTCAATTTTTTTTAGATGCCTAAAACCAAACCAGGATATTATGCTATATGAAAAAGACGTAAAACAGGAATATATTTAACTTGAGATGAATGTAAAGCGCAAGTTAATATTACTGATTATTTTAACAAAAAATAAATATTTATTAAAAAATTTAATTATAATTAAGATAATAAATAAAAAGAATTTCGAAAATGAGACATTAATTAAAAACAATTCAACTCGTTTGAATTGTTTATCATCAAATCAAGGTATTTAAAATTCTTTATATACATCCACACTGAAGAGGGAGGGAGTGAGAGAGAGACTGATAGTCAGTCTAAATTTTTTGTTTAAGATGTTTGTTACAACGATTTAAGGTGAGACAGGGTCATAACCGTATCATTAATGTCAAAAACATCAACGATTTGGGAACCTTAAATCATCGTAAGAACAGAGTAAACGGGAAAACTTATCTAAAGTATGTTAAAGAACATAGTGGCATTTACGAGAATGAACAAGCTGACAAACTTGCATATTTAGGTTCAAAAAAACCAGATATTAAATTGAATTTACTAGAACATAAAAATACTATCAAAGATTATTTCAAATAATTTTTTGTATTTTATTTTTTTATTTTTAATAAATAATATTATATATTTTTTATTTTTTTATTTTTAATAAATAATATATATATATTTTTACAAAATTAAATGCGATTCGTATCGATGACTAGGAGATGAGAGACCTAGTCAAAAATTCATATCAAATAATATTAACAAACAACCTACGATAAGCAATTGCGAGGCTAGCAGCACGCTAAAAAAAAAAAGCCCCAACAAGGCAAAAAGTTTAATTATAATCTAAACAGTTTAAAATTTATTATTTTTATTTTATTAATAAAAAAAATTATAACTTATAAAAAACAATCAAAATTAAAAAAAAAAAACAATAAAATTTTATAAAAAAAATTTTATTTTATAAAAAAAAAAACAAAACAAAAACAAATTAATTAAAAAAAAAAAAACAATTTTTTAAAAAATTAACCGTTGGCTGGCTCATATTTCTCTTTTAGAGCAATATATTTCTTGTTTAATTTAAAATATTCGCTATTTGTTTCTTTAACTTCTTTTTGAAGCTTAACAATATTTTTGACAAGTGATAAACTTTTGTTATATTTTTTAAAAGCACTTCTACAAAGGGTGTGGCGACTTAGTGAAGTGGTGAAGTTGTCGCACCCCCAAGCGGTTGAGTACAAGTTCAATTCCCACT